TGGAAATGCTTTTTTCACAGATTCCAGCACTGTCTATGATCTAAGGTTCATTCTGTTCCCATACTATTTATTTCACTAAAATATTCCTTTTTTGTAATTTGCTTCATTTACACATTGCTTAATTACGTGTTGCAGAAATGCACCAAATCGTTGAATGCTAATGATTCGACAGGGAGGTTGTTAATGTATGAACCCGATACTAAGCGAGTGACAGTGTTTGCCAAAGAACCTTCCAGGGCCAGCAGGGGCAGCAGTTAGCAAGATGGAACCTATGTCCTGGTCTCTAACTTCATTTCTAATAATACTTCAAAGTATTGGCTCCAATGCCCTTGAGCCAACACGTATGACATTCATAAACTCTTAGCAAGGCCAAATAACATCAAGAGAACCCTAGTAGGAGATTTTGGGAGGCAGCAGCAATGGTTAAACAACCAACGCAATCATTGGTACCTATAGGGCAAAGAATCGACAGATTGCATGGTTTCTCGAACAGTAAATTTCAAACCCTGTATGGCAATAAATTAATCAGTGAAGTGCAGGAGTTCTGTGGTGAACTATATCTGGCATCACCATTTGTGAATTTTATTGGCATCTAGAGGTTTCAAACTTGTCCCTAAACATCAGTTTTGCTTTAACAATACTGGCTGCAAAATTGTTACTTCGGATGGGAGATAGCATCCGTACTATGTAATAAAGATTTTTCATTATTATGTTTGCTTGCGCAGTATTGTTAATGAAATATAAACAATAGGACAAGGGTATCGAAGCATTAACAGTTGTTCTGTTCAGGAGGCTAAGTTGAATGAATTAACAGCTTTATACAGTTACCGCATGCAGAGACTGCAGATCGAGTCACAACTACAACTAGTGATTATAATATTCATGAAGTTCAGATATCAAAAGTAAAATGTTAACCATGAATATATAGAACATGATATAATAATTGTACTAATGAAATATAAGAGCATACATGGCAAAAATAAAAAACAATATGGGAATTAATGTGATTCATCAATTGGCATGGCATAGCGACATAATGGACACAATTGACTCGTCTCCAGCCATTGAACAATGCAGTCTCCATGGTATACATGACCGCATGGCACGCTTTTAGCTAATTCCTCCCCCTTTATCCTTCCAAGGCAAATAACACATTCACTGTTGTTGTCCAAACCAGAAACATTCTGCAACGCTTCAATGCTTGCCTTACTAGCTGGAACAAACCCGATTTGATCGTTAACTTCCGTTGATATGTCTCCATCCATATCCTCATCCTCCTCCTCGAACTCAATATCATCATCATCATCATCATCATCATCAACAGAATCATTATATCTTGTTATAAATAATGTTCCGACTATATTCTCCTCCTCCTCCTTCTCCTCCTCTAGCTCACCATCATCATCGTTACATCTCGTTGTCATAAATGCTCCAAACTTCGCAACAATCAGGAACTTTCTTCGATTCATGTTGCGTTCATCTCTCAGCAAAGCCTCGGTAAAGTTGACGATGTTACACTTAATCTCGACCATGACCAATTCGGGGACTTCCTGCCCACACGGTGTGTAAGAGGAGGACTGGTGGAGCAGTTTTTGCTCGAATAGTGCAGCCAACTTGATGGAATCAGGTTCCTGGCAATCGATCAAACCACGGCAACAACGAAATTGACCCTTATAACAATTGTCATCAATAAATTCACCTTCGTAGTCATCTGGGATTTGATCATCCACAAGTTCACCTTCACATATTTCCAAAAAGTACTTTACACCACCTTCCCATGTTTCGAAACAGTACCATACACGAGAATCCATGGATCATTAACAAAATCAGAACGCCTAACTTTTTTCTATTTCTTGTTTTCTCAAATATTCTCTGGAGCAAAACCTTTAGCTCTCTTTCTATATCTTTATATACATTAAAACTCCAAACAATACTAGGACTAGGATTGTGCTTATAGGTCGGTTTAATTATAGATTTCAAAAAAATAAGGCCTGTCTTTTTAATTATAGACTAGCATCGTGCCACTGCAGGTACATTTTTCTTGTTTAAACAGTAAACTCAAGATTTAATCTTTAGCCATGCATGAGATTAGCAAAATCATGTTGATGACGATAATGACTATATATATATATATATATATATATATATATATATAAACAATACAATAAAATCTAAAAAGTTGAACGAATTAATATTGTAATAAGATTATTAATCTTCTTGACAACAAAAGTTCAGTTTTAGCATTAATTTTATAGATTTAATTAATTATAAATTTGAAGGCACAAAATAAGCCGTCTTTATAAAATATATAAGAATATTTAAGGTTTGATATATATAAATTCTCATATCGACCTTGAACATTCAAAAAAGTTGATAAATTATACATTTTACAAATTATTTTGTGTAAATATTAAATTGCCATAGATAGCAAGATTAAGAAATTACATTGCAAATAAGATTTTAATAACCTTGATCTATTTTATATCAATATTTAAACTGTCGTTATTTTATTTTATGAACTTTATTAGAATAATTCACAATATACAAAACTAAACTTTATAAATCAACTAAAATGAACTAATATAAGACAACCAAACTTTAACCAGTAAGCATTCTATGCAATGAATTTAACTGATAAAACAAAGCATTAGCTATCAATACCATAAAAAGGCATTGTTCAAGCCTTGATTCTTACTCTGCTGAGGTACTGTTGCATTTCAAGATGAGAGGCTTTAGTAGTGGAGAAGTGTGACTATGGAAGCTTTTTGGGTATGCTGAAGGTGCTGAATCAAGAGCACATGCAATAAATGATAATAGAGCAATTTTGGTATCAAAATTTGAATTGGTCTTGTCTTATCAAGTAGGAATTTTTCAATAAATAAATAAAAATAATATAAAAGCCAAAAAAAAAAAAAAAACCCTGGTTTGAGATATCTCAAACCTCGATAGCATTAAGATCTTTTGGCATAAATATAAAGTTTGAACTTTATCTAGACAGAATTGAATATACATAGATAGCATTAAGATCTTTAGGCAACACCTCAATAAGTTCATAAATGAAAATTCAGTTCTGTCTTAATAGAGTTCAAAATGAGTGCATTAAAATTTACACACATCAACACTTTCTTGCGGAGTAAAAGTGAAGTGATATGCAATATAAGTAGTTAAATTTTTTTTAAATCTTTTGCCCTTGAGTTGCTCAAAATCATCACCTAAAATAGAATAACCTATCGGCTGTTGCAATCTAATCTATCTAATGCTAGCTCACTCCTATCACTCACATTAGATGCAGAAACTATGAGCATACATATTTATAACAGGTTGAAAAGTAGAAGCAGCAAAAGATAAATTCCGTTTTACATTTTTTAAGAATGGGAATTAGATAAGGATGTCCATAAACGTGTGCAAATGATGCAATTGTCTTGTTTTTTACTCATGCAACTGGGTATTGTCTACTTTTTATACCCTATCTGTATCCACGGTTCTTTGCAGCTCAATGATTATGAATGGCTACATAATTAAGATAATGAAATATAATAAAGGAATGGAATAAACACTAAGCATAATGATGTCCATTATTTTACTACAAATAATCAAAATGATATAACTTTGAAGTCAATTTATAAGTATTGAGATATGCGCATTGTTTTTGTAGGGTTGTTGGATTGGACCATGGATTACCATGAATGCCTTCTATGCAATGTTTTTTTTTTTTTTTTGAATGGAAGACAAGTGACAATATCCAATACTTTGTTCCAACCAATCTAAGTCTCATTGGAGCATAATCTATTTCTTTGAATTATTCTCTCTCTAGCTACTCTAAACACTTTAACAATCTAATGACTCTGATCAAGCATTTTGGTTTATCCATCAACAATTATCCTACCAATCCTAGTCTGAATATTGTTGCCATTGAAAATAACTATCCTATTTGAGCACTAATTTTCAGTATCATAAATGTATATTGAACAAATAGGGACATTAGTTATACATCTTCCTCCACCTCTTATAACTCTCTACTTAACAACTATAGAAGCTCGTGGATTCCTCGAAGGATTCTATCTCAAATATTTCAACACAAAATCAAAACAGCTTTGTATCTCTTTTTCATTCACCTTCACCTAGAACATCTAAAAAAATTTGACCACAAACATCATATAAAGACAGTCTATTTAATTATTCATCTATTAAACCTACTTCAATGCAAATTATAGGTGAATCAAAGTGAAACTTCTTTATTAATAGCAAGAAGGCAAAAATTAAGAGGTAAGAGCAAAAAAAAAAAAAAATTATATAACAATCAAGCATGCTAAAAATAATAACGTAACAATCATAATATCAAGAATTAAAATAATCAATAGATTTTAAGATTGGTCAACATTGAATCCAACACAACAACAATATTAACATATTCAAAAATAATAAACATAAACCAAACTCAATCCCAATAATAATCAAGAAGGAGCTAAGAATGTTGCAAGGTAAAAGAATAAATTATGAAAAGAAAAATGGAGTGATAAATACCCAAATTTCTATCAAGCTGTTGTCGATGGCAGTTGCAGTCTTCATCTGATCATATCTTGTTAAAGTATTCCTTAACTCTTTCAAAATTACAAATTGACACTTACTTGCAAATAGATTCAACTGCAACTACACAATAGGCTACAGTACTGAATTTGTTTAATACAACGAGTAAATGAAACACCAATTAAAAAAATTAAGAGTTACGAGTAAGCAATTATATCTTGATTCATTTCTAAGTAAAGCAATATTAATAGATATATTCAATATGAAGAGTAGTTGCTTATCTACATCAATTATAGTAAGAATTTCAGATCATTTCTTTAACTAAATATTACTAATCTAAAAATTTAGATTTTATACTTTTGGAATCATCAATGGAAAATTTATAAAATTCATATAATTTTAAATCAAATTCCTTTACTCACAAATTTTAACTTACATAGGAAACTTGATCACCATCTTACAACTCACTCCTATTATTTGCCTGGTAGCCAAGCATTGGACAGTGAATCCATTTTCTCTTATCACCAAGAATGCCATACTCTTCGCCAATGTTCATGTTGTCTGCCACAACATAAAAGATAGCAACAATGCATGAAAGACAGTAGCAAACAGCAATGTTAATGAGACATTCCAATGCAACGCAAAAAACCACTAAAAAGACATAAAATTGAGAAAAATTATACGAAGCTTGTAGAGAAAATTGCATTTAAAGAGTTAGGATCCTATTATATCGAAACACCTTCAACACACACACAAAAAAAAGGTAGGAAAAACAACATAAGAAGTAACCAATAAAGCTAAAGGAAGGTGTGTGCCATTGCTTGGTCACACCTATAGCCATTAGAATCCATTGATCCACCATATGAATAAAAATATCGTATTTGCAAATTCCAGATGATTTGTAACACTACCGGAAACATCAATTTCAAATGATTAACCACTAAATGATAGTCTACAATATCATATACAATTTAAGCTATAATAGGCGAGATTAAATATATCTAAGATATACCATAAAACATACATAAATGCCAAAGATTATAATAAAATTCTCTAACACTTAATCAACTAATGTTGAACACATAGGGCTAATTTTATAACTCATTACAACTTTAATGTAAATGATACATTTTACAACTTAACCAAATCACATCAACCAAGTAATGAAAATAACCAATCTACATCAAATACCTAATTGTAACATAGACTTCATAACAAAACATGAGTTGATTTGCACTTTCTCTAGTGGGGCATATAGCTTATTTATTAAAATTTCCAGCTAATGAAACAAACTTTTCAAATTCTTCTCCATATCTATACAATATAAAAAACCATAATCTCAATTATCATTGTAAAATTAATATTTTCCATCTCAATTTACCAATTAACCAATAAGATGCAACATCTTAAAAGTAATCTGAACTATTATTAACTTTAAAAAGATCACTAATTAGCCACTGTGATCAATTTACCTTTCTTATTCTTGTTTTCATTTGTTTTTTTGTGGTACTTCATGCTTCCAACAAATTTTCCCATTTCCTCAATGTATAATATAACAACTAATTAGTGATTCCATATTTAAAGGATACATAACACTGGTCCCAAGAGGCATTAAGTCTACCATTTTAAACATTAATTATTCAGATGTAATTTACTAAAATAATGATTCTTCTTTCTGAGATCTATGTTATAGTGACGAGTAAGTCATTCCTAATTTTTGTAATAGTAGTAAGCAATGAACATTAATGAAGGTGATTTAAAATCGCAAAGGTTAGCAATCAACTAAGTAAATGCTACGTAGTTTTCAGAGATGTAATGACAACTATATAAAAACAAATTAATACAAACAATTTCAGAGATGTAATGACAGTTAGTTTTGGAGCTGAATAACACTTTTTTTTTTTTGCCAACCACATAACATTTCAATTTCAGTAAAAGGTTGCTTGAAAACAAATGGTTGTAATTGGGCCCATCTAGTTTGGTTTGGCCTGTTACTTGAAAAATGGTTCGACAACATCGACCCAATTTTGCAAGCATGATAAATAGAATGGGCCCCCTAACCATTTTGATCAACAAACAAATAGAATTCAAAGGGAGACAAAGAATTAATTGGTCAATAAATAGTAAACATAAATTTGTGTTCAGCTAGCCAAGTGGTTGAGAAAGCTGCTAAACATACTGTGCCACATGCATGCCCTATAAAGTACCATTTCAAGCTCTTGATACGTCCAATTATGAGTTTGAAGGTGTTGTAGGACAATCACCAACTCTTGGAAATCAAGCTTTTGAAGTTTATTTGACCACTGAAGATATAGAACAAACCATTTATCCATTTAGCTTTGCAAGATTCATCAGGATTACGAACAACCATAAAAGCAAAAAAAAAATTTCAGCGGCATCCAATATCGAAGTATATTTAATTATGTGACAAAAAGAATTGCATTTAAATATTTACAAATCACAGCAGTAAAAGACCATCAGCAAAGTCCATAAGAAATCAAATAAATTTTCTATAGTGTAATTGGAAAATAACAAAAATGATGAAAAGAAAATTTAAGGAAAAAAAAAAAAAAGCAAAAAGGAAGTGGATCTTCCTTGGGAACCAAGCAGAAGTGAAGTTTAAAGTAGAAATGTTACCTTCAAAAACATTACTAGAAATAAGGAAGAAAAACATAATGATCCATTTTTCTTTATACTCTTGAGTTTGTCCTACAATTAATCACGGGGTGACGTCATTGTGACTAACAAAGAAAATTTTAAATTTAAATAGATCTTTGAATCTAACAATTAAGATAATCAAAGAAAAATGACAAAAAATGCTTAAAATACCTTAAAATGCTATGTACTCTGAAACAACTAAAAAATAGAAGGGTAAAACCCTAAAACCATTTTACTTACCTTAAGCCCTTCTACACCTAGAGAACATTTAGCTTACCGTACAACAAACAGTACGAAGACAATATTATCGAAGAAAACCATCATTTTCAAATGATAAATAGATAAAATTAAGGTGAAAGCAAAAAGACAAATCATGTCATGACATGTTGTAAACGTTTTTAATCTCATATTAAAATAATGTATGAAAATAATATGATATATATATATGTAAATATTTAAATTTAAATTTATAATACGTTTTTTGTGAAATAAGATTGTGAAATTTTCGGATCAAAATAAATAATATCTCGAAAGTTAAGTTGAATGTAAATCTCCACAAATAATATCAGAATAATCACTAATCGATAAGAATTAAATGTTATATCGTGAGAGTTACTAAGTGTTACATGATAAGACTATAGGACTCAGTAATTGCTACATGATGGGAAGATGTAAAGATTTAAATTCAAATTTATAATGTAATTTTTGTAAGATAAAATCGTAAAATCTTCAAATTAAAATGGATAATACCTCACAAATTAGATACGGATATCCACTCATATCAATTGCAAAAAAATTAAAAAAAATAAAAATCCATGAAAAACCTTAGAGAAATCGAAAATCACTTAAAAATAGCATTTATGAAAAATTAATATCGACAATTACCTAAACAAATATGGCCATTGCTATAAATATATGTATATGGAGGTGCCAGACGAAGAAATATTACCCGCCACCAATAACCCAATAAAGAAACAAAAAAGGAAGCAATATCATAAAAAGAAAATAAAGAAAAACTTGTAAAAATAGGTTTTTGAATAAAAACTAAACCAGGGGCTTCCATAGGGTAATATTCAGGGAAATCCTCTTGATGCTGATAGGTTTCATTGGCGTATAAAGTTCCCGGAACTCCATTTTCTTCAATTACCTACCTGATTTTTTTCAATACAATAAAAAAAGGTACCATTTAAAAGAAATCAATAATGGAAAGGCGAAGATATTAAAAAAAGAAAAAACTTTACGAATCAATGAACAACTCTTGAAGATTATCGATGACTTTGTGTTTAAAACTGGAATGAGGGTTGACCTACCACTCCACCAGCTCTTTCTGCACCGATACACGTTATCTTACTCAACGCCTAAAAAACCAAATCAAATTCCCTCAAAATTAATTCAAACCAACAAAAAATAAAATGAAAACATGAAGAGTGAAGAAAGGGAGAGAGAAGAGGAACCTTGCGAGCCAAGGCGGAGCAAAAAAAGGAAAGAAAAGAATATGAAAAATGAAAAAAAAATCAAAATTCTCTCATATCTAATCCTTTGGTCTACGAATCTTTTTTTCTTCAACCCAAAAGATTTGTTGTATAAAAGTAAAAAGATTCCTATGGAAAAGAAAAGTCATTAAAAATTGAGAAAAAAATTTTACAAAAAAAAGGTCGAACAGAGTTGAAGAGGTGGAAAAGAGAAATGATTGTATTGAATAAAAAAAGGTGAATGAAGTTGAACGAAATTTTTTCACTTTCCCTATTTTTTCATTCCTTACGTATACATATGATTTTTAAAATATTAAATATAAAAAGTATAATAAAAAGCAAATAATAATTTTTAAAAATAAAAAAGGCAAAAAAATGAGATAAGAATCAAATGTGACGTGTAAAGAAAATAAAAAAATTTTATTTAGTATTGATTTTATGTTTGATAGGTATCCAATTTTTTATAAAAAAATAAAAAATAAGATGTTTTATTTTTATGAATCAAATACTTAAAAATAAAGTAAAAATATCTAATAAAATAAAAGAAATAACAAACTTTTAAAGACCAACAAAAAAATAAGGAGTCTATGTGTAGATAAGGTAAAAAAACTCGTATCCAATAGGTTCCGACTCGATCCGATTATTTAGGATCGATTTTTTCTTTTGAAAATCGGGTATTGGATCGGGGTTGGGTCGGATGACATGAAGAAAAAATTAAAGTCGAGTTTTAGGTAAATCCGATCCTACCTAACCTGATATATATATAAATAATTTTTTTAATTATTTATTTAATTTTATAATTATTTATATATTTATATATATATTTAATTTTATATTTATATTAAAAATAATATTATATTAATTTCAGATCGAGTCGAGTTTAAATATTAAAAATAATAAAAAATTATCAAATCAGATCAAATTCAAATTTTAAATATTTAAAGTTAAATTAAGTGCGAGACGAACAAAAATCCCCTACCTCGATCCGTTGTCATTCCTAATTATGTGTCGTACATGGTTACCCCACCACTTCTCGTCATTCTCACTCATACATTATTTTGTCAGATTTCTTTACTTTTTGTTCACCAAGTTTTTCAAACTTTCCACCAATTCTAACACGCCCATCTTTTCTTCATTGATTTTCTTATATATACAAATAAATCTATCGGTAACTTCTATAAATAACACATCATGCCAAAATTAAAGATTTAAGTTTATAAATTTTAAAAACGTAGTCTTTAATCTTTGTGGATTCTTCTTACTCTTCCTCGAGCAGCACGTGATATTCTCTATGACTGCCCGAGGCCCACCGATACACAAAGAGATACCCTCTCCTTTCAATAGAGCTTAAAGGCCACATTTACTATTATGTAAAACGTAATTTTAAGGTCTAACATCAATATGATGCGCTAAACCTTTAATTTAATGATTAAAAATATTAAAAAAAATATTAAAATATTAATTTTGAATTAAATTTTTTTATTTATATTAGGATTTTACTTTCATAATATAATAATAATAAAAAATTCAACTATGGACTATATTTCTAATTTTGATATCTTATTTTAATTATTTAATTTAATTGCTAGAGCTTGTATTAAGGATCGAGACTTAAGCTCCGAATTCATGCGGCTCCAGCACTCGGACATTTATTGATCCGATGTCTCATATCAACCTATTTATCACGGTTCACACCTTTGTGAGGTATTATCCGCTCTGACACTTTGTCTCACGGTTTTGTCATACAAAAGTCGTCTCACAAGGCAGAAGTGGTATGAATCTTTTTATACCCCAATGACCCTCCTATTATGTTCGATGTGAGATTCAGGACTCTTCTTTAGGTCCGTGACATTCTCTCTCACCCACCTCGTGACGCCCTCGTCACGAAGGCTGGTCACCCTACCTACTTTCCTTGAGGTGCTTGACGTGGATCGAACGATTTATGGCTGGTTCTGATACCACTTATCACAGTTCGAGACTTAAGCTCCGAACCAGCGAGGCTCCGGGACCCGGGTATCCACTCATCCGGCGTCTCAGATCTGTCTTCCTGTCACGGTTCACACCCTTGTGAGGTATTATCCACTCTGACCTCACGATTTTATCCTACAAAAAGCTCCTTATAAGAAAAAGATGGTGTGAATACTTTTATACCTCAGTAACCCTTCTATTATGTTCAATGTGAGATTTAAGATTTTTTCTTAGGTCCGTGACACCTGCAGCTTATTTTTTTTTTTCTTAGTTTTATGTTCAATAAAGAAAGTTAATATAAAATATCAAAATTAATATATCATAATATGTGATTGGCATAGGACACAATGTTACATATGGTCTCAAAAATTGATTTGAAATTGTATAGTTTAATTTAGATTAGATTAATTTTTTTTATTCAATTGGTATCAAGTCCAAATATTACATATATATATTAAGTTTAGATCAATTTTGAGATAAGAAGGTGAACAATAAAACAAAAATCAAACTGAATTATATATTTTTATTAGTTTTTATATATATTTTAAATTTTTATAAAATAAAAATAATTATTTTATATATAAATATATTTATATTTATATTTAAATAATATATTTAAAACAAAAAAATGATATCTTGAACCAATAAAATTCGATTCAGATCTAATTTATTTTAAAAAATAAATATAAATTTTAATCAAATTTTAAAAATTTATAATATTATATATTAACAAAAAAAATATAATTAAATTTATTCTGACCCGAATTGTTATCAATCTTCCCAAAAATATTGAACTTTTGCAGTACATGGTATAATTAAAAGATAAGTACATCTGAAAGTGTTGTTTGGCTTCATAAGTAATTCAAAACAATATGAAAATTAATACATTCATCAATTGGCATGGCATAGCGACACAATGGACACAAATGACTCTTCTCCAGCCATTCTACAATGCAGTCTCCATGATACACATGACCGCACGGCATGCGATTAGCTGATTCCTCCCCTTTTATCTTTCCAAGGCAAATCATACATTCACTGTTGTTGCCCAAACCAGAAACCTTCTGCAAGGCTTCAATGCTTGACTTACTCGCTGGGATAAACCCAATTTGATCGTCAGCTTCCATTAATGTCTCACCATCCATATCCTCCTCCTCGATCTCACTATAATCATCATTATATGTCGTTGTCCAAAACGCTCCGTCTTTATCCTCCTTCTCCTCCTCCTTCTCACAATCATCATCGTTATTTCTCATAAATGCTCCAAACTTGACAACAATCAGGAACTTGGTTCGGTTCATGTTGAGTTCATCTCTCAGCAAAGCCTCGGTAAACTTGACGATTTCACACCTACATTCGTCCCTGACCCATTCGGGGATTTCCTGCCCAGACGGGGTGTGAGAGGAGGATTGTTGCAGGAACAGTTGTTGCTCCAATAGTACAGCAGCCAGCTTGATGGAATCAGGTTGCTGGATATCGACCAAACCATGGCAACAACGAAACCGACCCTGCACACAAGGGTCATCAATTTCATCTTCCTTGTCATCTGGAATTTGATCACCCTTAAGTTCACCTTCCCATATTTGGAAAAAGTAACTTATATGAGAATCCATGGGTTATTAACAGAATGAAAACGCCTAGCTTTTTAATTTTTTCTTTGTTTTCTTAGCTCATTGGAGAAAGACCCAACGCTCTCTCTATCTCTCTATATACATCAAAACTTCAAACATAACAAGGACTAGAAAATCCAATTCCTAAAGGATTGTGTTTATAGGTCGGTTTACAAAGGGCTTTTCTTTTCTTTTTGTTTCATCACTTTTTTGTTCCTTAAATTCCAAGTTCTGTATAAAGTATAGATGATCCATACTTGTAATAAAAGTAGTTCCCTGGTCGGTTTTGATTGTCCATATCTGTTGATGTACTTAAAAACAATTGGAGGGTTAATTTTGAAATAAAATCATTTCAGAAGCTTCTTGATCTGTTGAAAAAAGGCAACAAGACCAAAGGCTTTTCAAGATGATAAAAAAAAAAAAAAAAGGGCAGGCAAAGCAAAAGAACCCGAGCCTGTGGAAGCTGATCTCTGTTCACTTCTTTCTACTATATTTTGAACATGATACTCGATTGAAGCTCCTCTTTTACCTGCACCTTTGTCAACGCTTCTTATAAATACCCTATTTTATTAAAGGTTTTTTTTATCAGAAACGAGCTTTTAATCATAAATTGAACCCAATTAAGAAGCTTTGAGCCCAATAAGATAAAAGTCTAAAATTTTTAATTGTAAATTGATTTTAATTTTAATTTTAATTTTAATTTTTAGATTTAGTTTGTATTTTAATTTTGTGATTTATTTTGATTAAAAAAAATCAAAAGTAAAAAAAATGAAAAACTTGAAAAAGAAAAATGTGTGGAGATTTTGCATTCAATCTTTGGATATTTTGGTGCTTAATTCATGTAATCACAAAAAAATTAATTCATAATCAAATCAAATCAAATTATATAGTTAAAAAAAATTGATTTAGCATGAATTTTTTTATAAACGACAAAAAATATATATACATGTGATCATGAAGGGAAGAGGGAAAATTATTCACAAGTAACACCATTACAAACTCTCATTAACCAAACTGAAAATTTCCCACATCAGAGCCCATCGCTAGCTTCAAATTCCACTAATTCAGCTCTAATATCAGACACACAGCAACCAATTTCCAGAGAACAAGCCTGCGCAGCCTGCAATCAAGACCAAGGAATCGCATAAAAAACAAAACAGAGGCAGTGGGCATTCACCCCAGAACCAAACCAAGTCAACAAGGATTCAATTCTCAGAGGCAGCGGCCACTAGAAAAGCCCCAAGCAACTCAGAAATAGACCCAAACCCGACAATCAGAGCAAGTAGGAATCCAGTGTTCAAACTCAGAACCGAACCCAAACACAAATAGAGTACCCAAAAACACAATATAGAAAAAAAACCAAGCTGAAACAGAAAACTTGAACCAGCCCACAATCAATGCAAACAAAGTATCTAGAAACAATACCCAATACAAAAGAAGCTCAGCATAAACAGAGGCTGAACACAGAGGAAAGGGAAGATTCCTGGTCATTTCGTCGGCGGTGACAGGCAATGATACTTGAGTTTTTTCATTTTTTGCAACTGGGTTTTGGTGTTCTTGAACTCTTGAAGAGCTGCAAATCTGAAAGAAGAGGGACTTGACAGAGGCACGAAAAATAAAGAGAAGGTGTTGAAACGCTTGTGTTCCACGTTGAGGAGAAAAGCTTACCCGTGTACAACCCACAGGTGACCTGACCCGCTTTGCCTAGTTTTTAATTTACTTATTTATTTATTCATTATGTGTTTTATTATTTTTTTATTTGTCCTTTTAATCCTGGTTTCTTTTTATATATATTAATTTGCAAAAAGAAAATCATTCTTGCATGATTTATTATCTAATATTTGATTTGTATATTTTTATTGTATATTAATTGTATGATATATTAGAAGATAATTTTTTATAAAAAATTTTATCAACATATTAAAAAAAAATTTTGAAAATAAATTATTTTAACAAAAAATAAGTTTATGAATCTCCAAAGAAGAAACTACTAAAGGTGTTACACAGTAATTTTTATATAAATTTTTAGGTAAAAATTTTTTTAAAAAAATTTATTAATATATTAGAGAATTTAGATAAAATTTTTTCATATCAAAGTTTTAAATATCATTTGTTATCATATACAATTTTTTTTAATTAAATAAATCTGATGATAAAGTCTCTTAATAGTAGAACACTAGTTTCTATTAATACTTTTAAGGTAAAAAAATTATTTTAAATTACTACTAAATTATTAGAGTAATTTTATGATTAATTTTTAATAATTAAATTATTTGATAAAATTACAAAAATATTTTAAGATTTAGATAATTTAAAATCAAACTAATACCATCATTTGGATTGATATTGTGAAAGTGCTATACCGTACTTTCAAACTTAAATATGATTTTGTAGATTAAAATTTATTTTTTAAAGATACCCGAATTAAGTTTAAAATCTTTTTTTAAAATAAAACAAATTCAGTTAAGTGAATAATTATACTTAAGCAAAAAATTTTTTGTTATAACTCTTAAAGTTTATGATAGATCTATGAATTTATATGTTATAACACTTACGAGAAAACGAATTACTTTCAAAAAATGGATCAATTGCAGCAGGGGCTAAACTGGCTTTCTCAAAATTTTTGGTTGTAGATCTCTTTAATTTGCATTTCTATAATCTGATTTTATATGCAATGATTTTGATCATGATTTTATTTATGTTTTTTTCTTCAAATTATTTGTTTTGTTCGTGGCTATTGTTCGATAAAATCAACAAATCAAGGTGTTTTGAACCGATTCTGATGTTAATTTTTCAACATTTCTTGATGCATGAAGCATTTTTAAGATTAATCAATGAAGTTTTGGTCATTCTGAAAATACAGTGTTACAGATATGATTTTTTTTTAATTCTGTTATTTAGGTCGTTTTTATCTGAGCTAATATAGCAATTAGCATTAATAAGGGCTGGAATTAGACAAAGACACCAAAAACCTTATAGCCTCTTTTTTTCCTTCTCTGCTAAAACCTTTCTTAACCTTTCTTAACCTCTCTTTTCAACTTTTCACTACAAAAGCCATAAATTAAAAAAAAAAAAAAATCTCTCTTTTTTCTTTTTCCTTTCTTACAAACTCTCTTTGTCCCTGCAATTTTGATTTGACGGCAACTAGGTCCTTTAATGGTGTTACAAAACACCCACTTTCTTGTTTTTGTTGTATTTATTACTGTAATTTCTTTTGTTGGTGTAAAGCTTTAATCTTTGTTGATACTCTGAGAAGTTTGGGAGCTGTGAATTATCTATGATGGGAAAGTAAAGCAGCTGAATCCATGTGAAAATCTTGAAGGACAAGTGATTAGAGGATGTGGGTCTGAGGTAAAATTTTGTTATTTTTCACTTTCTGGTAATTTGACTTACAAATATTTTTTATTTATTATCTTATGATTTGGTTAATATAGTTTTCTTTATTTTATTTATTTTCTTTGTCAAGTATTTTTTTTTTTTTTGGTCTGATAAATTGTGGGGTTATAGTGGCTTTGCAATTGAGTGGGAAAACTTGGTGAATGCAACATCACCTGCATCTACCCACAAGGAACATCTGTTCCTTCAAAATTCTGTTCTTGACATTAGTAATTAGTATAAAGTAGCTTGCTTCTTCACCTTTATCATTCCCCCACTTCTATAACTACGGATCTCATTCTGGTATTTTTAAAATTTATAGTTGTCTCCTTTCCTGTTGTCACAGTTCCTGATGGTTAGACATGACACAGATGCTACTAAACCAGTAGTTCTTTCTATTGTACACCTGATCAATTCCTCACTGTTTCAAAAGTGTGAATGAATAAGTAACTATCACATGATTGATGTAACATCTGTTGCAATGATGTTGTTCATTCAGCCTTTCCTTTTTTTTTTTTTCCCAATTTATCTTTGCTCTTTAGTGTGCAGGCTTTTCAAACGGTTTGAAAATTCTTTATATTGCCTAAGGCAACTCATGCAGAATTTTGTAATAGACATGGTTGAACCCTAATTCTGATTCTAATTCTGATTTTGATTACTAATATTCAAGGGATTAATTTTATTTTATTCTCTCAACGGGGACTTAAGCCATTGAAGCTTAATTATATCTTAATAATCCGTTGAAATCCCATTGAAGACAATATTTTTTTGGAATTAAGCCACCTGTCAAATTTATGAAATCAATTCATAACTCTTTATCCAATACCACCCTTAAATAAAACTCTAATTCACACTAAGAAGAAAGCCCGCAAAGCAAAAAGGAAAAATAAAATATTAAAAGAAATTGAATTATTTCACTTTTTTAAATAATTTTTTTATATTTTTATTTTGTCCAAATAAATTTTTAAATTTTGATTTGTTTCTAAATAAATCTTTATTTCAAATGAAATAATGCATTATGTTAAAGATTTATTTAGTTATATATTAAAAGTTTAAAAACTTATTTAGATATAAATTAAAGATCAAAGACTTATTTGAATATAAATTAAAAATTAAAAGTTTATTTGAATATAATAAAAATACAAATATTTATCTAAGTAAAGTTGACAATGTAAGGATTTTTTTATTATTTTAACAAAAAAGAAAAACTAAAACATAGCATTAGTATTCATGCTTCTTTTGCCTACTAATTAAATTCTTGAAAAGAGCATTAGAATTCATGCTCTTTTTGCCTGCTGATTAAATTTTTGAAAATGTATATTTATAAAGTGCTTAACAAAAAGTAGATGCTGCTAATGAGGTTTTGGTTTAATTATAATGAGGAAGTCATAAAATAATGACATGTTAGATTCAATTCACACTGTGTGTGAATTTGTTTCAACTAAACCCTCATTTTATTGTTAAATTTTTTGTTTTCAACTTTTATCTGTTTTTGCTAAGCTGGTGTCCAAGTGGAGAATCTAGTACAATAGGTTTACAATAGACAAGAGATGGAAGTGTGGCCGCGTGTTACATGGAAGCCTAAATGGGGATCAACTTTTTTTGAGATAAAAAGCGAAGTTAGTGGA